AAAGAAATATAAATTTAAGGATGTTCTTAACTGAGAAATAAAATTTCTAGAAATGTTACCCACAAACGTCAAAAATTTTCTTTACTCGAAGGATTTCTTCGTTTTCATGCTAAAGTTCAAGAACAAGTCATGAATTTCACAATCTTAACAAAATAATCAATCAAAGTTCAAGACACTAGCAGCAAGTAAAGATATCTCATGGCATTCAGAATTTGGAGTGTGTGAAAAAGTTTAGCCAACACAGACACAACCTTGGCCTTAAAGTGAAATATAACCCAAATCTCTTTCTGAAACATGCTTCGACTCAAATCTCACCAGTAATTGCATTCAACAAATAAATCACTCAGAATATAGTGTGAAAATTACTCTCAATATATGCGAGTAGAATAATGTAAATCAAAGGCAAAATATCCCGCATACTAATTTTTTGGAAAAACGCTATAATGAAAGAATAAATAAATAGTCTCATGAATGGAATACCATATACTGAGAATTAAAATTACCATACCATCACGCCTATCATCATGTTCACTTGTAAACTATACCACTCTCAAGATCAAATAGGACTTTTATTTGGTTGTAATGTTTGGGTCGAGGAATTACGAAAAAATAATAAAAACGCAAAGTTGAATAAAAAAATGGATATCTGAGACATTATTGGCATAAAAATAAGCTCTAATCTGAGAGATTATTGGCATAAAAATAAACACAGTTAGAGCATTATTCCAAATGTTTTGCTCTTTTTGTTACTTTTTTTTTTGTCTTTTTCAACTTCCTCCTGCTTTTTTTTTTCTTTTCGTTTTGCGCCCCCCCCCCCCATTGAACACAATTTTTTTCTTTTTTTTTTTTTTTCCCCCTCCCTTTTTTTATTTTTTTCTCCTTTTTTTACTTTTTTTTTTTTTCAAACAAATTTGCCATTGCCAAACTCAACTTACCCAACATATCTACAAAATTGAAAAGAAAGTATGGGTTGTGGGGTTAAACAAAGAAAGGCTAACATAAAGGCTCAAATTGGTTTCTAATGAAGTAATAATAAGGAAAGAAAAATAAATAAAAGACTCAATGAAACAAAGATGGCCTAAAATCATCTCTCAATTCATGATCTCAATAAAAGATTAGCACAAAACTCGTAGGCTCAAAAGTCTCCACTATCATTCTTCAAGATTTTCAAGTCATATCCACTTGTCAACTAAAAATCATATTCATGTGGCTAAAGTGCAGTGCAATGATTTCCAAATACGAACACATGGAATACTTTAACAAAGTAGCTAACATATCAAACTTCAACACAATTTCTTGAGTTAAAGCAATAAAATACTACAAGTATGCCGAATTACTCAATGCACAGAACAAAAGATTACCGTGCACACTTTTCTTTTCTTTTTTTAAACAAAACAACTAACTCATTGTAGCAAGCAACATATAAATTCTTCTCAAGATAAGTATTTTCTCCCCCAACCTGAATGATGCATTGTCCTCGAGGGAGTAAAAGTATGATAACAAATTGATTTATTCTAAGCATTCAACCAAAAATGAAAAAATAATGAGACTACACAATAAATTAATGCGTTTCCAAAGAAAAATTAAGAGTAGATGTATAATCACTCTCCAATAAATGATTGGCACAAAACTCACAGGGTTAAAAGTCTCTACTATCATGCTTCAAGATTTTCAAGTCATATCCACTTATCAACTAAAAATCATACTCATGTGGCAGAAGTGTAGTGCAATGATTTCCAAATATGAACACATGGAATGCTGTAACAAAGTAGCTAGCATATCAAACTTCAACACAATTCTCGAGTTTAAGCAATAAAATACCACAAGTATACCCAATCACCCAATGTATAGAACAAAAGATTACCATGAGCACTAACTTTTTTTTAAAAAAAAACAAAACAACTAACTCATAGCAACAAGCAAATATATAAATTCTTCTCAAAATAAGTATTTTCTGCCCCCAACCTAAACGATGCATTGTCCTGAATGTAAAAAGTAAAATCAAAAAGTATAGGAAATTACCTTAAATGATTAACCATGTCAATATGTGTCATTGCCCGCAAGGGGTTAGCGTCAAAAACACGAAGGAAAAAAAAAAAAAAAAACGAAAAACTAGCTGCTCCTAAAAGTAAAATTATTTTGAATAATATGCACAAACCGGTTCCTCAAAATAATTCTGATCAATTATTCTGAACAACTTTTTGAATGAAGTAAAGGAAGTTGGAATTGTCAATCTCTAATTATCTAAAAACTACGAAAAGTGAGTTTTTGGTTTCTATAACCCATCACAACAAATGAAATACAAAATTCCAACAAAATTTCCACAAAAGAAAAGATAAAATTGCATAAGATAATATATGTATTAGCAGTTCGCTCTTTGCATGTTTGTTCCACATGAAACTATAAACAAAGTTTTTTTTTTTTTTCCATTTCTTATTTCCTTCTCATACAAGATCCGCAAGATGCTTATCAAATATAGCTCGAATTATTGGAAAGGAATTTCCAAACCTCACACATGTGGGAACACTATAGCAATCAAAGTCAAATACTACATAGTATCAATATAAATAAATTATATATAACCACGTATATCAATATAAGCAATTGTCCTATTTTGTTTCATCATAGAGTAACAGAAAAAGGCGTCATTTCAATACATTATGTAAACAAAAACATAGACGAACTACTCAATTCTCAATTCAACAGGACACCCAATTTTCAAACAACACAATTCAAATAATTTTGGTTGAAACTCATATTAAATTGTATGAATCGAATCGTGCATCATACAATTCTAACACCATACTAATTGGAACATGTAGAAGCCGTGTCAACAGAATAATTTTGATCTTTTACTCATGAAATACGATATCCATTTCCAAGAAATTGTAGCAATGTAAGTGAATTTATTCTAGAGTGACAATTGAGATTAGAAATTACCTGGTTGTCAACTCTGCCAGCTGGTGCAGGAGGCAAGACGAGATCTGCTTCCAGATCGAGTTGAAGATATGCGGGCACACCCATCACCTTCTATCTCCATGCCCATGTCAGCTTCCAAAGAATGACGCTTTGCATCACAACATCGAAAAGGATAAATGAAAAAAATAAAAACCAAAAAAAACCGACGCCCAATTTAGTCTCCATTTCCAAGCAATGGCAGCAATGTAAGTGAAGGAATTCTTGAGTGATAACTGAGATTACCTGGTTGTTGACACACTGTTCAGTTGAGGAATTCTTTAGTCTTCATCACTTGTGTTACTACTCGCTGCTCAGTTGCCAGTGAATAAAAAAAGGTCTACATTTATCTCCCAAAAAACACGTGGATTTATTATATATAGCCCAACAGACATCAATTATGTAGCAACTACCACCAATAAACTACTAACTTAACCCTATTCTTGTTTTTTCTTTTGTTTTTCTTTTTTTTTTTGGTTAAGTATGAAAGCCAATTTGTAGACATAAGCAGTAACTCAAAAATAAAATGCTACTCATGCCAATTAGTTTCTCAATTTTCTCTTGACCCCAGGCTCTAAGGATTTGCAAAGCACGCAAATTTCTATCCTAAAACGCCAATTGCTGAGGTTTAATTGTTCTACAGGCTAGGCGTAAGCTCTCTTTTAGAGGGGGTATTGCCTTTGGCATGTCATGAACTTCATTGTAAATCCTCTTTTATGGCAATAAAACACTTACCCCTTAAAAAGCATAGCATGACGAACAATGCCTATGCGCCACAAAAGCGAAGAAAAGGAAAACTAACAAATATCAACTATATTCAATATTGGAAATGGAAAGAAAATAATTCTTCCAGGATATGGTTGAATTCTTTTGGATATCACAACTGTAAACATTTAGATTTAGTCAATACTATAGAATAGGAAAGTTTATTAGGATCAAAATTAGTAGCTAAATAATAGCTAATCAGTCCTCAGAATCAGTAGCTAATTAGTAGCTAATCAATTCCTAATTTTATGCCTTGTATCTCCTATAAATAGAGGTGCTATGTCGAACAATGCCTATGCGCCACAGAAGCCAAGAAAAGGAAAACTAACAAATATCAACTATATTCAATATTGGAAATGGAAAGAAAATAATTCTTCTAGGATATGGTTGAATTCTTTTGGATATCACAACTGTAAACATTTTGATTTAGTCAATACTATAGAATAGGAAAGTTTATTAGGATCAAAATTAGTAGCTAAAAAATAGCTAATCAGTCCTCAGAATCAATAGCTAATTAGTAGCTAATCAATTCCTAATTTTATGCCTTGTATCTCCTATAAATAGAGGTGCTATGTACATTGTTTAAATATGAGAATAAGAAATATTGTTCTTTCTAGCTTTCATGGTATCAAAGCTGAGGACTTATTCTCTGACCCTTCTGAGGTAATCCTAGAACCAGCAAGCTGTCCTTCACCATATCAAAAACCACATCTGAATCCATTGTTACCGTTTCACCGAAAAACATTGAGAAACATGTCTCCAACATTGATTCTCACTCGGTCCAAATCACCAGCATTAAACTCAACGGTGATAATTTCTTGCGTTGGTTTGAGTCTATCCAGATGTACATTCGGGGGCATCTGATCACATGACTTCTTTCTCTTCTTTATTCAATACTTATTTATTTTATTCTGAAAGTGAAAGAGTTAGGATTGCTGATGGCAATTTCTCACCCATTGTAGGAAAAGTTCAAATAAAAATTTTACAAAATATCACTCTTCACTCTGTCCTTCATGTTCCTAAACTGACCCGCAAGTTGTTGTCTGCCAGTAAATTATCCAAAAACTCTCACTTACGTGTTGTTTTCTTTGACTCTCATCGTGAATTTCAGGACCGAAACTTGGGGAGGTTGATTGGCAGTGCTAGAATGGTCAATGCTCTTTACTACTTTGATGATGACATATCCTCTTTACTACTTTGATGATGACATATCCAGCAATAAAACAACTCAAGGCTATGGTTGTAGTATTAGTTCACTTTCGGCTCGCGAGCAAATAATGCTTTGGCATTTTAGACTAGGACATCCTAGTTTTTCATATCTTAAACATTTGTTTCCTAACTTGTTTAAAAATTTGGATTGCTCGTCTTTTCAATGTGAAAGTTGTTATTTATCTAAAAGTCATCGAACTACTTATCTTACAAAACCCTACCGTGCCTCTAAACCATTCTACTTAATTCATAGTGATGTGGGGTTTCTCCAAGGTTACCACCATGACTGGTGTAAAGTGGTTTGTAACTTTTATAGATGATCACACTCAACCGTGTGAAGAAGTAATAGATTTGGGCAAAAATTTATGCGCCAATATGAAATATTTCCCAATAAAATTTTGAACACATCTGCGACTAAATTTTAGTCGTTGAAGATAGGTTACCAAAGATAAAAAATAAAAAATAAAAAATAAAAATTATTTGGCGACAAATAATTTAGCTGATAATGGAAAAGAGTACTTCAATGAATATCTAGGGAATTTTTTAGGGAAAAAGGTATTTTTCATCAATCTATATGTCGTGACACTCCTCAACAAAATGGTATTGCCGAAAGAAAAAATAAGCATTTACTGGAAGTAGCCTGAACCATAATGTTCTCTATGTATGTTCCCAAATATCTATGGAGAGATGCCATTTTGACAGCCACTTATTTAATTAACAGAATGCCTACTCGGGTTTTGCAATATGTCACACCCCTAGAATATTTCAAAAAAACCTTTCTTGATTGCAGAATTAATACAGATTTGCCTTCAAAAATTTTTTGCTATACTATTTTCGTTCATATACCCAGCCAAATTTGATCCACACTTGACCTTAGAGCAGAAAAATGTGTTTTCATCGGGTATGCTCCAAACAAAAGAGGCTACAAGTGCCATAATCCTCAAACAAAAACATTTGGGTGATTATGGATGTCTCCTTTCTTGAAATTCAATCCTATTTTATCAAAAATTCTCTTCAAGGGGAGAAAAAGAAAAAGGAAGAAAATTTTTGGCAGACAACTTCGGATCTCTTACCAAATCCTATTCGTTCTCCATACCTTGTTTTCTGAAAAACGAGAACAGAAACAGGGTATTCAAGATATGTAGAACGAAGGAAATCCCAGTCCAACTTCTCCAAACATAGAAGGCTCACAAGCAGGGGGAGAAATACTACAATTGGAACAAACTGTTCCCGAACCTGAGTTTTTGGTTTATGCTCGAAAAAATACTCAAAGAAAAAGTAAAGACTAACCAACCACTCTACCACAAAGCCAATCAGAATCTCTTAAAAAAGGTCCCTCAAGTAGTTCAGGTATTCCTAATCTGGTTCCTCAATCATCTGTCTCTACTTCATCTCCATTTCCTTCAGCGGTTTTACCTAATGTTATACCCACAGATTGTGATCTTCCTCTAGCCATTAGGAAAGGAATTCGAAAATGTACCCAACATTCCATTGCGAAATATTTATCTTATGACAAACTTTCCAAAAGTCATAGAGCATTTACTTCAAAAATATCTAACCTGTTTGTTCCTAGAATTATTAAGGAAGCCTTGGATGATCCTAATTGGAAATCAACAGTTATGGAAGAGATGAATGCTCTAGAAAAGAACGGTACTTGGATGTTAGTGAATTGCCTAAGGACAAAAAGACAGTAGGTCGGTGACATCCAGCATCCAGCCACTGTCCTAAATAGTAGGGACTCCTGGTCTTGGATTGGTTACTCACTGTCTTTGGGTTGGTGACATCTTTCCATTCATTTAGAGGCCCTATGGCTCCTAAAGACAAGGATAGGGCCATAAAATCACCATTTCTTCTATGCAGAATTTAAAAAGCGTACACTAGACATTACACTAGAAAATAAATCTTTACCTTCATGGATTCAATCTCTGCCATAGCTAATCCTTTTTGGTAAAGAGCTTCCGCTAATTGGTCACGTGCTGTCTCCATCTTCTTCTTCATTTACGCTTTGGGAAGGTTGCAAAAAACCTTGGATACAGTTAAAGCCAAGCAGACCATACTATGTTCTATAAACACTCAAGAGAAGGTAAAGTAGCTATCTTGATTGTTTATGTAGATGACATAATTCTAACAGGTAATGATAGTGCCGAATCGAAAAAGTCAAAGAAGGGACTTGCTAAAGATTTTGAGATAAAGGTCCTGGAGCACTAAGATACTTCCTTGGAATGGAGTTCGCTAGATCTAAGGAGGGCATTTTTGTCACTCAGCGCAAGTACACAATTGACTTGCTCAAAAAAACATGCTTGCTCGGATGTAAAGCTGCTGAAACACCAACCGAGCTCAACTTGAAGCTACAGCATGCTAGAATTGAAGATGTGGTGAATATAGACAAGTTTCAGAGACCTGTTAGAAGACTGATATACCAATCTCACACACGTCCCAACATAGCATTCGCAGTAAGCAGAGTAAGCCAATTCATGCATTCACCAAGAAAGGAGAACTTTGAAGAAGCATACAGGATCCGAAGGTATCTAAAGGGAACTCCTGATAAAGGCTTGATATTTAAAAAACAAGGACATCTTCAAGTGGAAGTACATACAGATGCAAATTGGGTTGGAAGCATCACTAACCGGAAACCACATTCCTTGGACTTCTTACACTTACTTTGGTAATCACATAACCTTTTTTCTTTTCAAGGCCCACCGGCCATACCACCGGCCCCAGAGGTTCTTCTACTGCCATTGGAATTTCCTCAGATTCAGACGACTACGACGACGATGATCTTCCCATTGCTACAAGGGCCACAAGGTTCAAGACCAACAGGGCAGTACTTCCAGATGTTGAAGAAGAACCAAGTGCTAGGGCCGCACCAACTACTAAGGCTGAACCAGTTGTGGAGGCCGCAGAAAATGAAGTTCCCCCTGCTGTGAAAGTTGTTGCGGGCGGCCTAGTCGGAGCGTGCAGAGCCTCCAAACCCCGCTGATTCTGTGCACTCCGACCGTTCCTTTGTCGGCAGTACTTCTAGATGTTGAAGAAAAACCAAGTGCTGGGGCCCCACCAACTACTGAGGCTGAGCCAGTTGTGGAGGCTGCAGAAAATGAAGTTCCCCTTGCTGTGGAAGTTGTTGCGGGCGGCCTAGTTGGAGGGTGCAGAGCCTCCAAACCTCGCTAATTCTGTGCACTCCAACCGTTCCTCTGTCGGCGGAGAGGATTTTTGCCCAGAGACCCCAAGGGAAGATAGCGGCATGAGAGAGCTGCTAGAAGTTGCACCACCTCTCTTTGGAACTACATTTGGTGGTTCCTCCCAGTCTACTGAGTCTCCATTGGTTTAGCAGACCCCACTTCCGAACGCCCAAGTGGCTAAGGAGAGTGCAAGTGTAGCGACTGCTTTCACTGTTCCTGCTGTAGCCCCTCTAAATTTGGACCGACTTGCAGAGGTAGCTGTCACTTTAGCCACCCACATTGTTATTGCTGTCGCTGGGACCTCTGACCCAGTTGCTTTGGCAACCTTTGAACAGCTGGCAGACTTGTACCCCACTCACTTTCCGAAA